TAGGGAAAATGAGACTACTGTACCAAACCATTGGCTAGAGCATAGAAAGTGTGTTGCACTTTAGTACGTCCTGTGGGTGGGTTGGAGTTTAGACCATCCCCTTTGGGGTAGAAGATCCATGCAGTGAGCTCATGGGGTCCTTTCCATCCCATTTTCTACTGTCTTTCAGAGTGTGAGATGAGTCAAGAAAGCTGGCTGAGCAGCGTTGTGTGGTTATTGAAGAAGCAGAGGGAAAGCTGTAGCCTTTGTTAGCAAGTGAGACAAGTTGCTCTTGATTTGATTTGCTATGGGAAACTGTTAGAAGCAGCCCTGTAGCTGGGGCCATAGAGCATGCCTTGCAGGAGCAGCTGAAAACCAAGTTATTTTCTGCACCAAAGATGGGTTTGAGACAAATATAATTTCTTTTTTTTTTTTGGAGGAAACCAGAAAAGGGAATTTAAATAAATCAGAGCCGAGGATAAAACATCAGTTAGGAAGAATTTTACTGTGGGAGGAGGTGTCATGTAAGTGTGAGAAGTTTCAGTGTGCGAGTACTGCTAGGAGCTGGAGTGCTTGTTGTGGTATAATGAAATGATTTCAAATTGTTCTAGCAAGAGAGTTTAACTGGTGTTTTTCTGCTGTTGCTTGGCAGGCTGTTTTCAGGCTGCAGGGTGGCCATATAGCTTTTCTGAGTGATGGAGTTTTATTTAGACATTGCCATGTTAGCAGAACGTTACTCATTGCTAAGCAGTCACCAGTCCCTGTTTTCTCTTCTTCTTCAAAGTTGAGAAGGTTGTGGAGAGGCAGCCTTGGTGCTGGGAGAAGGTTGTGTAGGCTCCAGTCGCTTTGTGGTGGTGAATATTTCCTGGTAGTGAAGGAACATGAGGTGTAAGTGATGATCAGAGCATCATCTTGACTACCAATGGTTTGTAGCCCAGGTTTGAAGGAGAAGAGATTTGCTTCTTCCCTGTGAGGGTGCTGAGGCGCTGGCACAGGGTGCCCAGAGAAGCTGGGGCTGCCCCATCCCTCGCAGTGTGGTCATAAGCAAGTGTCCTTTGCTGATGTTCTTAAAGCAAATGCTGATGGTCATCAAAGCAAAGCTGCCTGCAAAGGAATAAGGATGATGTTATGATAATGAGAAACTAAATAGTGATGTATCACATGAAATTCAGTGTTGGATGCAAAATAATGCCTGTGGGTAGGAGAAGGACTGGCCTGAAGCAGCAGTAAAAGCTCGATGATTGCTGTTGCTTTTTAACTCAGGAGCTGAGAGTGTCAGGTAAAATTATGGTCTGGAAAGCTTGAAAGCAAGTTCTTTTTCTGCAAACAATTAAGCACAGTTGTCTTACCTAGGGAATTTATGTAGATTAAAAGAACAGATGGATCTGAAAGGCAGTTTATGGGGAAGAAGCCCATGAAGAACCGTTAAGTCCAGGATGAGGGATGAAGTCCTGAGTTCTTACCAGCCAGCAAGGCAAAGCAAAAGAGAGTGAAGGAGCAGGAAAAGGTTTAGAGCAAATCCCTTTGTCACACAACACCTTTCAATCTCTCTCTTTAAAAATGAAGTCACAGCGGCTTGAAATCTGTGAGAAAAAGGCTAAATTTGTTCCCTTGTGCTTGGAAACTCTTGTCTGTTCTGTCTCCTCACTGGTTTGCTTAATACAGTGAAGCCTTGACATCGCTGTAGCTGACACTGCCAAACCTCCTCCCATCTGCAGGCTTCTGATCATAGCAAGAAGGGAATAAAGCACAGAAGCACTTCTATCAACAGATGTGAGCTCTGATTTAAGCAACAGTAATTTATTCCTACTGTTCTTCAGCAGCATCTGCAAGTGCGGTACTTGGGACGTTACCTTTACTTCTCTGCAGCACATTCTCTCTCCTTAATGTGTGGCTTACGTGCACCATTACCTAATCCAGGATAATTAGAAGAAGATTTTGGGGCAAGGAGTTCAAGCTTTGAAAAGCAGATTTGCATCCAAACACTCAAAGACTCGATCTTACGATAGCTAATAACTTAGAGGGGGGGGTTGTGTGTATGTTTCTTCTTCCATGGAATGGAAATGAGAAGAAACTAAGGAGCAGGTCTTAGAAGAACAAAATATGACTGTGGTTGTGTAATTGGTGCTTAAGAGCAGGAGGAGATGTGCTCAGGTAAAGACAACTCGCTGGCAGCACAGACAGCGTGTGCTGCTGTTGCTTAGCATGGTGATAAGGAGTGATGAGCAAAGAGCAAAAGTCCTTTGCTCCTCTTAGCTTCAAACACTGCAAAGCAGCACTACAGTTTGTCTCTACCTGTCCCTAGGCTTAATTTCTTATCTGCATAGCTCTTCAGCTAAAGAAATAATGGAGCCTTTTGTAAGACACTCATTTCACTTTGAAGGAGCTGCACATTAGTGCATAGGAGGGTATACAGTGGCAGTAGGAACCTCATCATAAGGAAGGACAAAAGTCTTTGGGTTTTCACCTTAAAACATCTTAGACATTGCTCATAGAAGAGAACCTGTGTCAAGCTGTTGATCCTTCCTGTTCTGCATTCACTTATCATTTTCTATTAATGGTACATGCTGTGAAGGTTAAGAGCCTCCAGCAGGTCCCAGGCACTGAAATCCCTCTCCCCACCTTTAAAGGAGCCCTCTCCTATGGGCTTATCTAACAGAAACAGCAGCTTCTTTATTAGAATGAGCAAGGCATTAATATTATTCTCAAGAAGAGGAGTGTGCTGACCAGGACAACTGCTCCTCATCCAGCAGCAGCAGATGTGGAGAGCTCAGTGTCTCTGACGCAGTTGTATCCTCCAGCTCAGGAATAAAGAGAGAAATATACGCTGTTGGATCCACAAAAGGCAAGAAATATGCTTCCTCTTTCTGTAAAGTCCTTCCAGATGGTAAGGCTTGATGTGCTGTCCCAGCAACAACTCCTGTGATGGCAGCTACATCAAAGAGCTCGTAGGCAGGGAAAGCCAAATAGCGTCTCGCCTGTAATGAACTTCAGAGTTCAGGAATGATGGAGAGGTCAACAGCAGCCTGTGCACCAAACAGCAGCAGCTTCAGAGCTGGAGAGCAGGCCAGCTCAGGGCCACATTAATAACATTTTCCACCATGGCAGAGTCTACACCCCCCTGCTGCGGAGCGCTGATGGCTTCAGTGGGACTGTTCAAACACTTACAGCCTCACAGATGATGAAGTGCTGCCTTGGAGGAGGGCCCAGTGGTCTCCAGACATCCATTCCAGAGGAGGTGGCTGGGTGTTAAATCCTTATCTTGGAGATGTTTGCAAGCGGGATGGGGCAGTGGAGAGCTTGCAGGTAGCAGTGGACATCTCTGGCTTGGGAGCTGAGTGTGGGGGCATGGCAGAGACCTTGACTTTGGCTTCTGCATCACAGGTGGAGTGCTTTTATCCAAACTTTTATCCAAGCACTTCATTTCTTGCTGCAGAAATAATGGCCCTTTAAAGCCACCCCGTCTTGCCCTCCATCAAACCAGGTTTGATGCCTGGTTTCTGCAGGTATCAAAGGGCCTGAATGTAGCAGTGCTTGTCTCAGGCACTGGTGACTTCTGCATGCTTTATATGTCTGAGGAGATCCAAGGATCTGTCAGTCTCTTACGTAAAGCCATGCTTCAGACATGTGAATGGTGGTGGTTTGTATTTCCATCCTCTGGTGCCTCACGGTGAATGAAGATAGCCCTCTGCAATTCCACATCCATGGAAGGGGCCTGATACTTGCTGTAGCCAGGCAGAAGCTACCAGTTTCCTGCAGCTTTTTCTTTCAAGACCAGGATGAGTCAGATATGCTTAAAGATGGGTTAGATATGTTCAAAGATGGGTTAGATACATTCAAAGATGGGTTAGATACTCTCAAAGATGGGTTAGATACTCTCAAAGATGGGTTAGATACTCTCAAAGATGGGTTAGATACTCTCAAAGATGGGTTAGATACTCTCAAAGATGGGTTAGATACGTTCAAAGGTGGGTTAGATACTCTCAAAGATGGGTTAGGTACTCTCAAAGATGGGTTAGATACTCTCAAAGATGGGTTAGATACGTTCAAAGGTGGGTTAGATACTCTCAAAGATGGGTTAGATACTCTCAAAGATGGGTTAGATACGTTCAAAGGTGGGTTAGATACTCTCAAAGATGGGTTGGATATGCTCAGCCCAGATGGCACGCTGCAGCTCTATCTCAGTTGAACACTGAGATTGAGGGCACTGAGGTGGTCAGCTCTTAGCAAAAGGCGAGTACATTTTCTCTGTTGCATAAACCATGAGTGTCTCCTGCTCAGAGATACTGGGGGGAGAGGAGCTGAGGGTGAAGGCTGTTGGATTCCATGAGGGAATGTAGCAGTGTCATCCTGACTGCAAAGTCATGATCATCCATAAAGTTTTATCAGGAGTGCTGAGGAGGAGCCCAAAGATGGACCCTTGCAGAGCACTAATGCACTGGTCAGTGGGGAGGAGAAGCAGCTTGGTCTTCTTCCTGCTTTGATAGGGGCTTTTGGAGGGATGTGGTCAATCAGTCCCTCTCCTGCATGGGTGCAGCACTGATCCAGGACTCCTGCAGGTGTTGTGCGTAACTCAGACCCCATCATACTTCTGTTCCCATGTCACTGCCCAAATTCTTGGGGGCCCAGGAGGGGCCCTCATACCACAGGTAGTCACTGTAGGGCTTTCCCACCAGTGCAGTGGCTTTCCTCGGAGTCTGAGGCAGCACAGAGATGGCTTTTTGGTATCCTTCAAATGCTTTCTTGGTTTACTGTGACTTCAAAAGCATCTTCAGGGCAGATGCTGCCAGAAGCCATCCCTGGTTACAGACTTGGAACTATTTCCACTGGCTTCAGCGGAGCCGTGAAGGAGGTGGACCAGTCTCCTATGGGGCCACTTGCATCTCCATGCAGCTCAGTGAGTAAACTGGATGCCAGACAAAACTTTCCTTCCCCGTTGGCATTGTTTCCATAAATAAGCTCAACACAGTCAGAGGTGAAAAATAGCTGGTGATCCTTTGCACTGAGACACGTTACATGGGTCTGATGACATGGATGCAGTGAGGAGACCCAGAGCTTCAGCCTGGAAACATCCCCCAGGAGCCCTCCTTCTCCCTCTGCTCTCTGAGAGCCACAGCCAAGTGGCAGTAGCAGAAAGAACAGGCATTTCATCACATGTCTGCAGACTTACCTTGTTGGCAAGAATGTGGTAAAAGCCAATGCTTCTCCCTTTTTGTTGCAATCAGGACATGATCTCGTAGCATAACAACCTGGGGATGTCTGCAGAATGCCTTGCCTTGCCTCTGGCCTGTTTTGCGTGTTTGTGGGGAGAAAACCATAGAGGATGGTGGTCCTGTCAAGTATGAAGCATGGAAGTAAATGTCTGTAGTCAGCAGCTCTGTGTTGAACGTCTGTTGGTAGCTTTTTTGAGACAGGATTGAAAGGATGGTTCCCCAGGGAAGCTGCTGGCAACTTAACCTTATCCTGGCAGTCCTGGGCAGGCATCTTTTAAACATCCACTATTAAACATCCTTCTTTCTTGTGTGTGGTTTTTATTTTATAGAATCTTTGTATGATTTTGTAAACCTTTTTTATTTCACCTGGGTTCAGTTTCCTCCAGCAATTAAAAGAGAACTATTAATACTGTGGTGTTGGTAGGAGTTACTGTTTGGAGACACCTGTAAATTTACAGTGCTGGAGATGCTGAATTTGCTCCTCTGTTATAGCATTGACCCTTTAGTATTGCAGAGCTGTTGGAAATGATCATCTCTTGAGTGTCATTTGGTTGGATGGACACTCAGTAGTGGTGATGTTCCACCACTACTACCAATAGAGGGGTCCCAGCCCTGGTACTGCCAAGCTCAGTTGTGCAGTTTAATGCATTTTAAATGAATGCATTTAAGCTGAATGTATTGAATTCATTAATGCATTCAGTACAGAAGAACTTCTTTAGAAACTGTGGCTCTCTGTTTCCTGGCTGTCCTTGTTGCTCCTAAACGTGGTTCCTCTGTTTCTCCCTTAGGTTGACAGTGACACCATTTGGAATGAAGTTCACTCGTCTGGTGCCGCTCGCCTTGCCGTGGGTTGTGTCATTGAGCTTGTTTCCAAAGTAGCCACAGGAGAACTGAAGGTTGGTATGAAAACAGCACTTGGCTTTGATGTAGGCTCTGTACAGGACTCTGCTCAGGGCTGTGATATGCAGGAGGTCCAGTTAGCTTCCTTTTAATGGCACCATCTGGCTCTAGTCATAAAATTCCTTGAGGATATCAGCAAGTGAACAACAGCCTCCTGGGGAATGTTCTTATGCACCGATTAAATGTACGAAAGAAACCAGAGCAGCAGAAGAAATCACTGTTCCAGTGTTATCTGAGGGTCTTGTTGTTGCCTTCAAGCCAGCCCCTTTGCTGTTTCCGTG